ATTTTAATGTTTGTAATAATTATGAATTTGTAAGTGATATCACTGCTGAACCTTTTCCCTTTATACGGAGACTGTAGGGGATAATGGGGATATATGGAACACGTGTTATGGATCTTCGTTTTAGAGATTAAAAAATAAATATTATTAATAATGACATCAAATTGTGGGGAAACAAAATTGGTGTCTGAAATAATTCATGTGCGCTTGTTTAAAAAATCATTGAGATCATGAGCTTAATTTCAGTATTCTATTTCTATGGATTAATAAATTACGGATGCTAGAAATGTAGTGCTAGGTTGATATGAAGGTCGATTCTCGGGTTATTCCAAAAGGTCCACGAATCACACACACATAAATAAATAAAAAATACTTAAAAAGGGATTATAATTTTCATCCATACTTTATTATTTACGGAGTCTTGTTTTTCAGGCCAATAAAATTCGTATTGGCCATTGACTGAACGCATAAACTTCGCAGATGGGGAAAACGATACATTTTTGTGAATAAAAATATGCTTTCATGCTTATAAATTATTTATACTCTGAACCCCAATTTGTTATTTCCATAGACGATGCACATGTTTTACAAACAATATGTTTTATTAAAAACGCGCAGTAAATACAAGTTATAAACGAACGTACATTGAATATTTTGTGTTTGAAAAACACTCAGAAAAATGTGATTTACTTATTTAGGTCTGTACTTATTTACATTGTGAGGGGATCGAACCAATGACCGCTGGCGTAATGAGGAGCAGAAAATCTCTGAGCCATGTTGGTCGTGGACAAATAACAATGAAAATTTCAATATTCAAAATTTCGCAGCAACATAATGAAGCAATCTCGAAACGACAAAGCACATTGCTTATAATCATACGGTATTCTGTAAAAAGCAATTCTCGTGCACAATTAAAACGGCCTACCCAATTTAAACGGCACCTTTAAATTGGGACATGGCGCAAAAAGGGCTAAACAACGTGTAGTATTTCGCGCGTAATTTCGCTCACTTAATTAAATTTTAAGGGAATCGTGTCTCAGGCGATGCGAAAAAATAAGATGTAAAGGGCAAAATTTATACGAGTAATAAAGTCGCGGGTAGCTAACACCCTATTCCGGGCTGATGGGCCATTAAGCATTTTTACGATGTAAATTTGTTTAGACCTCAACCCTTAACCTTGGGGCGGCTATTCTCTCGGCCAGTGTAACGCGTTCGCAGCGGTTCCAGCGCTTGAGGTTGACAGGATTACTTTTATACGACTTGGATCAAAATTGTTATAAAGTCTGGTAACAACTGGATTATGAAACTATAATAAATAATAATAAAATAAATGTTTATTTTCTCTTCACAAAGGTAACAAAGAATAATGGGCACTACAATATTGTGAATGTTACAATAACAGAACCTTTGCGAGAGACTGGTGTCTAAACTAGGGTAATCCCTGTGTGATAGATCACCAGGCCCTCAACTTGCTCCTTGAACTTAACAATCTGACCAAATAAACACGCGCAAAGTGCGAAGAGAGATCACAAGTACTTGCACATCACTATACATAAAAATACGTGATACTGTTAGTAATATTAAGTGCGTTATGTGAGTGTGTGAGTTTTGTGTGTCAGGCATGTGTAGTATGAATGAGCCCTCATAGCAAAACCTTCAACAAATCCTCAGCCTCACCATAGTCCAAATTCAACAGCCACTCAAGTATCAGTTTTTTGCATGCATACTTTGGTAATGAGTAGAAAGATAATATTTTGTTCAATTTATTATATAAATATGGGCCAAGGAAACAAAAAAATCTATGCGATAACTGTGTACGTAATTCCCTGCTGGGGCAAACCTTGTATTCCCTTCTAGTGCCTTTAAGATAATTATTGTATTGTAGGCAAGAATGTTGAAGCAGAACAGTATGCAGTATAAAAAGTTTTCGAACCGAAAGTACATTACAGCGTGAGTAAAGATCCTTCGTTGGAAAGAGAAACGGCAAAGAGTTGCTCACTTTCAAAATTGCACGCTGAGCCCTCTCCAAATGCAACATTGATGATTTAGGTGCACCGCCCCATGAGGTTATACAATATGTCAACAAGGATTGACATAATGCATAATAAACCATTTTAATTACATCTGTGTTGGCGACTCGGCGGAGATTCCTAAAAATATACATTAGTTTCCTTATTCGGGTTGTTAATAGAGTAATGTGGGGATTGAAGCTTAAGGTGTCATCTATCATTACTCCTAAGTATTTGATAGTGTTAGTCCTAGAGAGTGTGGGACAAGAACAGTTCACATTATCCACATCCCTCGGGCAGTGGTGAGCTACTATTGACAGAGTGTCCGATTCAGGTAGGGTAGTCTTCCTACTGGCAAATGCTAAATATTTGGTTTTGTCAGTGTTTAGTGTGAGCTTGTTGTGGGTTAGCCATTTAGTAACAGCATTAAATCCCCTTTGCGCTGACTCAAACACATCCGACCACGAATCTCCCTGAAAAAGGAGCGCTGTATCATCTGCGAAAGCGATGATCTTCCCGTTGGCAATCTCGAGCTCGCATAGGCTGTTGACGTAAGTAAGGAAGAGAGTAGGGCCAAGCACACTGCCCTGTGGAACTCCATACGTTACGGGGAGATCATGGCTGCAGTAATTGCCAATCTTCACTCTCTGGTACCTATTCGATAAATAGTCGGCAAACAGTTCCAACTGCACCCCCCTCACTCCAATCTGCTCCAGTCTTTTCAACAAGAGCGGGACAGAGACCGTGTCGAACGCTTTCGCCAGATCTAGACATATAACGACCACTTTTTTCTTATTGTCCAGATTAAGGGCAATAAAGTTTGTCAATTCATGCACTGCGTCGTGAGTAGAGCGTTTTGATCGAAAGCCATATTGTGATGAGGATAGCAATTTATTTTCCTCTAGGAAGTTGTTAAGGCGCTTATTTAAAATTCTTTCCAATATTTTAGAGATCGTTGGCAATATTGAGATTGGTCTATAGTTGCTATAGGATTCTCTGTCACCGCTCTTGAAGATCGGACGGATTTCTGCTAATTTAAAACGTTTAGGAAATCTACCGGTTTTTATTGCAAGGTTGCAGACAAATGTGATGGGGGGGACCAGCTGTTTTCTGTATCTCTTAAGAAATGTAGCCGATATATTATCACGACCCACCGCGCAGTCCGATTTTAAATTTATGATTATCAATTCTATTTCATCACAGCTCGCATCAATAAGGACCATAGAACTAGGATTGTGTTTAGTATTATGAGCTGCAGAGGCATTGTTGTGGTCACAGTGCTTCTCCGCCAGAGTTTTCCCTATGCCCACAAAGTACGAATTTACCTGATCCACTGAGGAAATAGGGTCAGACTTATTTACTAGAACATCCGCGCTGTCTTTTTGTTTATATGTATTTGTTACCATTTTTATTGTGTCCCAGAGCTTCTTACTACTAGTTTTAGCTGCAGCTGTTAATATTGTCTTTTCGTAATCACATTTAAGCTTTATGATCAAGTCCTTACAGTAGTTCCTGTACCTTTTATAAGTTATTCTAATTACGTCATCATGTGGATATTTTTTACATTTTTGGTGGAGCTTGTCACGATTTCTTAAGCATCTCAAAACGCCCGGTGTGATCCATGGCTTCTTAATTAGTTTACGATTTGTGGTTTTTATAGTCCTAGTATTATTTTCAATAGTTTTATTTAATGAATCTAATAAAAATGAAACCGCCTCATCAACATCGTCCATAGAATATATGATGCTCAAGTCAAGCCGTTCAATATCCCCATCCAGGTCATCATAATTTATTTGATTTTTGCTGTGATGAGATAAAATTTTACCTTTTTGATTAATCTCTAATGTAAATAAGATAGTGTCATGATCGGTTAGGGAAGTCTCTGCTACATAGCACGATGCCTGTAGTTTGGTTTTCAGAATTAGGTGGTCTAAGCACGTTTTAGAATGTGTAGGGAAACAATGGGCTGGTAACATACCATGTGAGGCTAGACAGTTTAGATAATATGAGGAATTGGGGTCCCTGCTTTGTGCGGCAATGTCAATATTTATATCACCAACCAATATTGTGTTTTTAAAGCGAGAGAATTGAGTAAGTGAGATACTTAATGAATCTATGAATTTGGTGGGGTTTTTATATCCAGGTGGTCTATAAACAGCCACTATCACTGTCTCTTCATTAATTTTCAAGGCGATACTATTACAATCTGATATTTCCAACTCTTCCCATGTAGTATTTAATTGGTTTTTAAAATAAATTACCACACCTTCGTTTTGAGTAGAGTTAGCAAGAGTCTTGCAATAACCGTAGCCCTCCAAAGATGGTATATAGTGAGCAGACTGTAGCCAACATTCTGTTAGAATAATTAGATCCCAATCAATGCCTGTTCGCTGGATGAGTATTTTCAGTTCGTCAAAGTTACATGTAATGCTTCTAATATTTTGGTGCAATATTTTCAGATGAGAGTGTGGCTCAGGTATCAATTTACAACAATTTTCAATATCAAGCAACAATGAAGAATGAGACACTGAGAACTGGTCGATATTATCAGTTATATTATCGAATTTTAAAAATAATTATCTTATACATTGAGCTGAGTACATGTTCAAACAGAAATAATGTTATTTTAGAGTAAGGCACGTATAATTCAATACTTTTGAGGGAATAGGCTTGAGCCTCATAGATCAATAAATTATCCAAATTGTTGAGAGTGTGCTGTGTAACTATTTTATTGCGAAGGAGTTGGTGTTGCTTGCGGCCTACTTTAAGGACATTTCGTGTTTTTGTATGCATTGTGTGTGTTAGGGTAGAATGTGAGATACACAAGAGAGTTTCGTAAACATATGGGAAAATATTGGTTTGTGTGTGTAGAATGTGTTTCGATAGTGTAAATGTTCGGGATTGTGTAGTGTAGTTAAACATGGCAATTATATATCCATGCAAATACAATAGCATTAAGTAACAAATATTGCTTATTAGTAAACTTAAGTCTAGTCATGGTTGTACAGGATTCTTCAGAGATTTTAGGTCGTTATCATCTTTTACAAGAAGGTGCTGTGATCCTTCACTCTTACGCAAGAAGACTTTTCCGCCTGATGTCCAGCAATACTTGTATTCATTTTGCTTGGCAAATTCACGAGCAAGGTAGAAGAGCTTCCGCGTTCTTGGTGAAAGGTGTTCTGATATGTAGATTGGCGTCGAAGCTCCATCCAAACCCATCAACTTTGAGTTAGTTTGATCGCCCTTGGAGTTTGAAAACAGTTTAGTCTTTGAAATAAACTTTTCTTTCGCTAGTGTAGTCATGAATTCGATTACAACTGTAGATACATTAGATTGTGACTTATAATTCGTGCGATAAACATCTCTGATCTGTCCGCAGTATTCGTCTTCAAGACTAATACCAGTTTGAAGATGTTGGATCATGTCGAACAACGTAGACTTCGATTCTCGCTTTTTAGAGTTGGGAACATTTCTTATTTCCACACTAGTTTTCTTGTTAATGCATTCCAAATTTTCTATTTTATTGTTGATAGAAATAATTTCCGACGACATTTTCTTGCGTTCGACTTCCAGGTGACTTATCTTGTCTTTGACATCGTCAATCTGGTGTGATACGAACTCCAGCGATCGCTCGATTTCGCAATTAGTCTGGTGAATCGTAGTGTTCTGAGATTTAATTTCAGCTATACTTTTTTCTATGGCGCTAAATTTCTCATTCTGCTCGGCGAACATGGCAGCCATTGATTCCATAATTTCCTTCTTGAACGACGAAAAAGTGTTCTCCTGTGAGCTAACACTCTCTTCAGATGTGCGTAATCTTTTTACACTGGGTCTTAGGGTAATGTTCGATGTTTCATTCGCTTTGGATAAATTGGTGAGGTCCGACTCGGACGCCGATAGGGAAATATTATTTGGTGGAGTGCGGTGCATGTTGTATCAGTTAGGGCTGATTTTTCAATCGTCAGATATCTTTTAACTATAGAATAAACTTGTCATTTTGACATAATTCCCATACTAAAACTGTCAATGTGCCAAAGTTATTCTTCAGTTTAAAGTTATCCGACGATTGAAAAATCGGCCCTTAGTTGAATTATAATGAATAAATAAAAATGAAAAATATTTTGCGGCGATGGGATTCGAACTGGGTGTTGCGACGAGTCAGAGGTGCTACTTTATACCAACGCGCCAAAGTAGCTAGTAGCAGTGTCGATGAATTATGTAGTCCGTTTCTAGTGGCAGTTAGTGTGCGTGGAATGTTGACGCTGGCGGCGAGTCTAAAGGTCAAACGTCACACACTTCACTGTTCGTTGAGTTTTTAATGTTTTGTTTGTTTAAAGCACTTAATTCAGTTTATTTTGGCACAACTTTTGCACTGTTATCACTTCCATTGTTTGTATAATTGATATATTTTATATTTAGGCGCTAATAACTTTTTTATAATAGTGTTTTTAAATAAAATGTACGGAGCACACGTAAACACGTCTTCACCGGTCAGCGTCCGGGGGATGAATTAAGCGCATTAATTACTGAGAGTGCACGAGGTAAACTGGTAAGACGTTTTAAATTAGTTTTATTGTTAATCATGTTAATAATGTGACATGCAGTACAGTTACTGTACTACTCGATAAATATAATCGTTACCAGTTATAACATACTAATTACTACCTATTTTGTAGCTTTCAAAGAAAATTTATGTTGGTCACATTCACCAATTTTCACTTCGAAATCAAAATATTCAAACTATTAAGGCTTGCCTTGATGAGTTTTGCTGAGGACTTAGTAAAAACATTTTGAGAGATTCTACACTGTTTCTTAAGAAAACATTTTTACTAAGCAATTTCTCAAAACTACGCAGTTAAAAACACTCGTAATCTTAGAAATGAGTTCATCTTCCTAGTAATTTTATATCGTGACTAGCTATGCCCGCGACTTCGTACGCGTGAAAACCCGTTTTCGCAATATTTTTCATTTTTGCTCTGCACCTATTACTCGTAGCGTGATGGTATATAGCTTATAGCCTTCCTCGATAAATGGGCTATCTAAAACTGAAAGAATTTTTCAAATCGGACCGGTAGTTCTTGAGATTAGCGCGTTCAAGTAAACAAACAAACAAACTCTTCAGCTTTATAATATTAGTATCGATGCACTACGCGTGAACTAGCTCAGCCTTGTCTGCCAGCGGGGCTTAGTCTGAAATATTAATGTCCTTTTGTACTGCAAGACAGGTCTAAAGGATAAGGATGGTGATATAAATAACTATCTTTTCTATATTATTTTGGCGCTTACTGCGTTTATGAGTTTCATGCCAGTTTTCACCATCAATCTCTAATTTTTAAGTGAAGAAGTTTTTTTGTAAGTGATATTAAAACAAAATTCCTATTTATGTTTTACCATAGGGGTCACTTAAAAATTAGGGATTGATTATGAAAACGGGCATCTTGCGCCCTAGAATAATAATATGGATAGGTATTAACCGCAAGAAAAGTAACGCACTTTAAACTGAACCACTGGCTTAGTTTTTCTCAAACATTCTAACTATTCACAAAGTTAAACATTGGTGAAAACATAAAATATGTAAGGTGACATTGGATAACAAAATATTATGTTAATGCCCTCTTAAGACGAAGCGCTTGTATGAATGAAGACTTATCTATCTAAATGTTAATAATCTAAGACTGTGAACAATTTTTATAATTTATTTTATAAAGCCAAACACTGTATGTTTCTATAACTTTATCAATACTTTTTTTCCTAATTGTACTAAAATTGCGTATGTGCTTATTAGTTAACTATTTTTATGCAAAATTTCTACTTTTTTTGATAAAATAAATCACTAAGTTTGATAATAATAATGTAATTGATTAGGACAAAGCCCTGACGTTCAAAGAGATTCTGTCATCAATCAATGCTGAATTATTTGGTATTCAAATCAAAAGCAGATTTTCAGGCTTTCTCTAGAATATTCTGCGAGAAATGAATGTCTAATAAGTTTTTAATACAGGTAAATGAATGCTAAATTATTTTAATTTAGATCATCGTTTTGTATTATTCCGTTTTTAGATGAAAAAATAATTTTAGGGTGCAGTTTTTTTTTATTACAAAACATGTTCGACAATCGTCGATTGTACTCTTCCATCTTGTAAATGTTTAAGCCTAAACGCAGACCGCCGACTTTTGGTTGGCCGATAGTTAGGCCCGATTCTGGTTTGTATGAAGAATCGGCCGATATATACCAAATCTGTGTAATGTGCGCACTTTCATTTATAAATTCAACAGCCCGACCCAACTATCGGCCAACTAAAAGTCGGTGGGCTGCGCCTAAGCTTAAACAAATACAAAAGTTTACAACCAACTCATCTGATTATGTGTAGGTGGTATGGTAGGTAGTATTAAGTATTCATACCACAATGTTCGGGGAAGATAGCGTAGGTAGTAAGTAAGTTTCAGTTCCTACGCAAAAGAAGTCATAAAATTATTTTACAACTTATTATCAAGTCAAATACTTCTTAGTGCTAACATTTCCTTCAACGTCCGATTTCTGACTACTGGCACTGAATCCAAAAACGACATTAACGATAGCTACGTCCATTAAAGTTTTCCTTTTTTAGGGTTCCGTACCCAAAGGGCAAAAACGGGACCCTATTACTAATACTCCACTGTCTCTCTATTACCAGGCTATATCTCATGAACCGTGACAGCTAGACAGTTAAACTTTTCACAGGTGATGTTTTTCCATTTCCGCTATAGCAACAAATACTAAAAAACAGAGTAAAGTTAACATTTAAGAGCGGGCTCCCATACAGCAAATGATTGGTTTGCCGTAAACTATTTACATACTAAGACCTAGTAAGGGCCTAAGTAGTGAATAAGATCTTTGACTTTGACTTTGGCTTTGACTTTGACTTCGACTTTGATACCTATAAGTTGGAACCCTCGGTGCGCGAGGCTTCCGGCGACTGGGACCGCAATTAACTAGGACCGCGGTCCCAGTCGCCGGATCCATAAAAAAATAACAATTTTCTTCCGGCGACTGGGACCATTCATAGATAACCTAAATGAAAATATTATTCAATCCAAAATCGGTACAGTACTAAAATCCATGAGTGGTCCCAGTCGCCGGAAGAAAATTATTTAATTTTTACGCATCCGGCGACTGGGACCGCGGTCCCAGTTAATTGCGGTCCCAGTTGACGGAATCCTCCGGTGCGCGAGTCCGACTCGCACTTGTCCAGTTTTTTTTAAAGTTTGCCTCATTAATAAACTAGGAGGAATTTCTCAAACGAGAGCGTAGGCGAAGTCAAATAATTTTCTTCTAATTAAAGGCTTTGTAGCATTTCCTTCCTGAATGCAATATTAGCGAATAAATGCCTACTTTACTTAATTGGTAGTAATTTGTATTCTATTTGCAGAACTCATTAGGATGTGCTAAGGCGAATTTCATTAATTTTGGGGAAGAGAATAATTTTAACGCTATGTAGAGTCAACCGATAACATCGTACCATACATTTCTGCTGCTGAATAGCAACTTTTACAATTAAATGTACTGTATATCCCCAATCAGCCAAATATGATTTTTGTATTTTTATGTGACAGGAGGCAAACGAGCAGACGGATCACCTGATGGTAAGTGATTACCGTCGCCTATAGGCATCCGCAGTCCCAGGGTTTCAGCAGAGTGTAAAAAAAAATAAGAATTGGCCTCGAAACTTGAATTATATTAAATCTTACAAGTCAACTATAGCCAATTCCTCTGTGGTTGAGGATTCCGGGTGAAGCTTCCACCTTCAGCCTGATCATCACTTACCATCAGGTGAAATACAAGCCAAGAGCTTCCTCGTTGTGAATAAAAAAGGCTCTATAAAGTGTAAATTATTACACAACACAGATTTCATCCTCTTATTAATAGTTTATTCTAACAATACAAAAGTTAGTTAAAATATAATACCAAAGGTATAAAACGCCAATAAATACAGCAAAATGAAGATGTATTACAAAACTATTTGACGTAATAACAGATCCGCAAACTACGCAAGTGACATCCGTTTCAAATAAAATACCAGACGAAGAGAAACCTCTATAGGTCTTGCTTAAGGCCGTGTGGTCTAAGTCAGGAGCGTTTAATATCTAATTGAAAGAAAGTAAGAAAGAAATATTAATAACGATGAACATCACTCAGAGGACAAAGAAAGAAAGAAAGACAGAAATAGCACATAAATATTACAAGGAAATAAATAGTGAACTGAGCAGTGCCACCCTGTTGCAACAGCGATGCCCATCGCAATGGGACTCCACTCAGCATATGCCGTGGCCCACGGTGGGGAAGGCCACGAAACTGGTTTTAAGTATGCACCATGCCGAGTGGAAGTCACGGACACCGACCTAAACTGCATATAAAACAGTTTAAAAATAAAAATTGTGTATACAGAATGTAAAAGAAATGGTATATACCATGATCAGAGATGCTATCCCATAGCATAATCAGAATCTGAGGCAATAACTGTGAAGTTAAGAGTACCTCATAACTCATGAAAAAAAAAATTTAAGTGACAACCAAAAGATTGCTCAAAAAAATCATTCTCAAACTCTACATTATTAAATTCAGAACTATTAATCATCATCGTTTCAGCCATAGGAAGTCCGCTGCTGAACATAGGCCTCCCCCAATGATTTCCACAATGGCCTGTATTTTCAATTAAGAGACATCAAATATTTTCAAAAATATGTATTTGTAATGGTGACACTAACATTTAGCGTGGATTAGCGCGGAGCCAGTCGTGGTTGCGCCGAATTTTGTCAGTGTGTGCGTGCGCGCTGCATACGTATATTGGCGCGCTCACATACAAACCGCGCTCGGTGCGTATCTATGAAGATAACCTACTCATTTGTATTTAGTCTGCTTTTACGCTGTATTTTGTAACTTGAAGCCCATT